GTAGAAGCGGAAAGAATAGAAAGCCAAGGAAAGAGGAGCTGGTCTCGGGAGAGAGCAGCAGCTTTGTAGGCTGTATAGTGGGGTTTGTTTCATAGGTTTCTTGTTTTTCCTTAGTGCTTAACACCTGGAGTAAGGTAACTCCAGAGTGCAGATTAGTGATAGATAGCTAATGGAAAAAAAGAAAATACAAAAAGAACCTGCCAACAAGCTTCACCTAGCAGCATCTCCCTGGTGTTGTCAATTACAGGGACCTTTAATTTTAGCTGAAAGTCTAACTGAAAAGCTGTTTAGCATTCTCAAGAAAGTTTTTTTTGTTTGTTCCACATTTAAGAGACATAAATTTGAAAAAATCACCAGTTTGCCAGAAAATCACTGTTTCAGGCACCTGGAGAGGGAATAAATCTCAAAAGAAGAGTATTTGCAGACCTTTGCTGCAGTTCATGTTTACGCTTCAGGTATGGTGTTTAAAGTGTCTTTAAAATTATTGGAGAAAAACCCACCTATAATCTAGTCATGCTAATCTCAGTGTCTGTGTACACCAGTTGTAGAAATAAACGTTTGAGGGTACATTTCCTTTAAAAGATATAGAAGAACATGGAGATGAACATTCATCATTCAAGGCCCTGCATCATGGAAGCCCAAGGTAACGTATTGCTGTAGATCATAAAGCAAGTTAAGAGTGAAAACAGATTAAGGGATGGGAAACATCTTTCACCTTTCTTAAGCCTATTTTCTAACAGTCTGGAAAAGTTGGAGAGTGCATCAAATAGGCATAATTTGCAAACACCATAGCAGACCCTTATCAAGCCTGGAGATTTGCAAGAACTTCAGAGGAACCAGCCAGAGGTGGAGACTAAGTTCACAGTGATTGGCCAAGAGGATCCAGAAGTGGAGGTTTGCAAGCTCAACCTTCTGGCATTTAACAGATAGAGGCAAGAGACTGGGGACCATGAACTCCTGCTCCCTTGGCACACAGTACCTGAGAAGAAAGCTTTTCGAGCTAGGCTAACTGCAACACTGTTTGACTATCAAGCCCAGTGGGAACCGCCTCCTAGCAAATGCATCAGAAGAAATCTACCCTGGCAAACACACCAGTAGGATATTTTTCTGGCAACAGAATGAATTAGCTGTTGCTGAATTCAGCTGGTGCTGAATTCAGGAGCTCCAGCCTTAGAAGTTAGTCTCCTTTGGGGTCTCCCCTAACTATGGCCATGATCAAGAACCCATTTACGTCATCACCAAAAACACACTATGAGGGGGTGTGAAGCTTTGCAAGTAATCGGTATCCAGCTACAGCTTCCAGACTGCGGATTTCAATTTGAGTGACTGTCTTAGATTCAGAGTCTGAGAAGGCAGTCTTTGGCTAAACAGAAATATCCTAAGTGTAAGCACAAGGCATGGAAATACAGAAGAGTCTTACAACACCTTCTTCTCCCAGACAACGCAGCAACTCGGAGGTACAGAAAAATGCTTTGATCCCTGGTGTGCTCCAGCCATGTCTTGCTCTTCCCCTTTGTTACCAAAATTTATGAGGTTAAGAAATCGAGATCAATAGGTTTTTTTGTTCCTTTAAAACCTGGGAGAGAGTTAGTTGGTGATTTAAGTTGTGAAGAGTGGGAGCAGTATATTTATGGAGCAAAGCAGTCTTTGGCAGTTGAAAACAGAGGACTGGGTTATACTTCTTATGCATTAGGAGCAACTTTCACAAGCAGAGAGATATGAGAGAACCAATATACCCTTTCTTCTCTCCCAATAAAGGGCTGAACAGAAAGTACCCTGCAATTCGCCCTCTTGGATTCCCATGGCTGCAATATGCACTTCAGAAACATGGCTCTCCACAGGGGACCCAGAGAAATGAGAGAGAACAACAGTATTGCAAGAAGTTGGCAAAAGGCTGCAGCTGAATTTAGAAACCGAGAAACAGTCAAGTAAGCCTTTTCTTCTGCTGTACAATCAGAAATATATACATTATGTTGATTTCAAAGAAGAAAATCTAGTTACTTTTGCACTGAATTATACTGCTCTTTTGGATTCCCTACTGATCTTGGCCAAAGAGGGTTTTAAAAGTATGAATGTCAAAATGTCAACCACACTGCTTCTTTCCACCTAAGTTGTAGCTCTTGTTTACATAAGCAAAATGCAGCCAAGGGTTTGAAAGGCCTGTCAGGGTAACTGAATGGAGCATGAATCATTTCGCTGGGCACTGCTCTAAATGCTGCTTCTTCCTTCCTCCTTATTCTTGAAGGTCAGATAAACAGTACCAAGAACTGCATCTGAAGCTCTTCCCTGCATGATAAAAGACAGGAATCTTTCTGTGGAGGCTTTGGATAACTGCAATCGTAAGCTGAAAGCAGAAAACTCACCTTGGGGCTAACCATAGATAACGCATCTGTTTCTTATCAAGTGTCTTCCTCTCCCTCCTTCATCTTTTAAGTTTTTTTGTGTGTTTGAATCCGTGTAAATTTTTACCATCAGGAGGTAGGAAATAATGTTTACATAATCTAAGGCAAACACCATGGATAGAAGACTGTGAAAACTTCCACAATACTTTCCACTCACTAATTAGCGCCAAGTGTTGCATCATGCACTGCACAACCTACTCATCAATGAGCAAATTCTATCTGTCGATCTCTGTGTGGGCATTTCTGCAACCCATGTCTTTCAGGACAATGAAATAAAAGCAGGCTTCTGCCCTTCTTCAAAGCAGTCACTCCATTATGAACTATACATCGGCAATGGCAGCGCACTCAAAAGGAACAAGACTTGATGTAAAATGGCATCTGAACCTGTACATTTAATTCTTCCAAGAAATAACTGCAACTGTTCTGCAGACAACAGGCAGCTGTGGGGTACACACATTTTTCACACTTCTCAGAGAATAATATACAAAAAGCATCAGGCTGTAACAATCCTCAAATATAAAAATGCAGAAATCCTGGTGAGTTCAACTATCAGGAATAGCAAGCTGCAAATTTAAACAAGAGTAGAGAAATTTTTATCATGCGTGGTGGAAAGCAGTAAACGTAACCTGAAGGAAAGACAGAGATGCAACTCTGAGCATTGTGTTGAGACACTTAAAACATGTAAGAGAGATCTGATAGTTGAAGTCAGAGCACTTTCCAGTTTCACAGAGAAAGGCAGGATGAGGTGTAACGGCTAGAAGATGCTGCTAGACAAACTAGTCTCAAAATATGAAATATTTTCCCATCAGTGATGATAAATACTGGAATGTTTTCCAGGAGAAGTCATGCGCTGCCACTTGAAAACACGTGAAGGTACAGGGGTCCTTCATTTAGCTTCTGTGAGGCCCATTACGGGTCACAACAAATGATTACAGAGCTCCCCTCTGGCCTGACTCTCCATGAATCTGCGAATTTTACAGCTTCATCCTGTGGGGCCAAGGCATTTTGGCTCCAAACCAGTAACGCACTTACGCGCATGCTGCAATGAAAGCTTGCTTCCTTCACTGGAGCAGGGCCAGCGCGACCAACCTCTTGCAAGACAGGCCCAGCCATCTTCAGCCATCTCAGCGTTTGACTGCTTTGGGGTTTCTTTGCTGCAGTAGCAATCAGAAGCTTACAGCAGCGGGGGCTTGGAGATCGAAAACTTCAAAAGCAGCAGGATACTTTTAATTCTTGCTTATCTTGCATCTATTTTGCTGAGGTAAAAAGGGGTGAAAATGCTGGTCTAGAGTTTTTTATTACGGTTTCACTTGGCAATAATTTAATTCAGATCAGGCAAGACAAATCGAGGCAAGTTACTCCAGGAGGATGAGCAAATGAAAAATAATGCCTTTCTCCAAAGATAAACTTAATGCAATTACTGACTTGAAAAAAAGGATTAAATCAATACCGCATGGGTAGAAATACCTGCACGCTGGAAAAATCTAACTTGAGTCATTCTAAATAGTAGACTGGAAAGTATGTGAGGCATTAGGTAGGTTCAAACATGAATATGTACACACACAAACATATATACGCATATTTCTACATACATACAGAAATATTCAAAAAATAACTAATAAAAATCAATTGGAATGCAGACAAAGGATCCTGAAAAAGCCTTCAGTTGAAAAAAAGGGTGGGAGATGGAATTTTTACAAATTAGCAGCTAATTCGGCAACGAAAAATCCAAAGCCTATCTGCCCGAATCGGGAATAATTTAATTAAATTGTTACATTAAATTATTTAATTAAATTAATTAAAAATTTCTACCTTTTTCCCTTAAACTCAGCATGACATCCTTTGAAGCTCCCATTTATTTTCAGGTTGTAGCAATCAGTTAATTTCTGGATGTCCAAATCTCTTGAGAAGAAGAATTTCTTTCATGTATCCATAACATTTTCCTATTTTTTTTCTTCCCCTAGTACCTTACATAATTCAAAAGAGTATTTTGATTGTTCAAAACACTGATTTTTGTTACTGGTGTGGGGTTTTTTCCCCTTTTTTTTTCTTTCTTTTTTTTTTTTTAAGTGAGCTGATAACTGGTAGGTTATTATGAGTTTGCTTTACCTACAGAAAGAAAAATTTTGCCCTTGATGAAATACATTAAGATATATCATGTATTTTCAAGAAAGGACAAAACTATGGCCTAGGAAATTCTGAGCTAAGCACATTTCCAAGATTTTATGGTTGATTTAAGACGATAGAAGTGAAAATAGATCTGTCTGAATTTATTTTAAAAAATGGAAAGAAAGAAATAAAATGTGCTTTAATTCACCTTTTAATACTTAGAACAGCATATGTGTGAAGCAACTCTGTTTTATCCATTTAAGTGGAAGAAGCAGAAGTGGGATGGAAATACATCCAACCTTTAACATCGAGTCAAAGGAAGGCTTGAGAATGAGTGGGAAATGAACACGTCTAGATTCATTTTCTTTCCAACGTTAGAAAAGGTTTGGCTTAAAGATATTTCCAGTACCCATTCAGAACAGCTTACACTTATCTGCTTAATCCTGTCTATAAAGGAACTGTTGTCAAAACACTCATTAATTTACAAACCTGTCAGATTTGGTCTCTTGAGGCGGTGAGAGAGCTGTCCCATAACGAGAAGTGGGTGTTGTAGGGGCACTCACACCAGAGTAAGGCCGCGGAGAAGAGTAAGAGCTGCTGCCATAGCTATTATATCTGAAGAAACAAGAAGGAAAATAGGAGAAAGGGAGAGACAGAAAGAATCTGTCAGCAAGCAGGTATACAACACTAAATCCTCTTGTTTAGTGGGTGGGGGTGATCCCATACCCCAGAACTTCTCAAACATCCACTTTCTGAAAATATTGCTCTAATCCCAGCTTCAAAATCTCATTTTAATATCAACCATGTCATGGACATACCTGATTCAAATAGTAAGATATTGGTATGGAAAATAATGAGAGATTAGAATGGTCCTCCCAAGTGACAACTCAGAGTAGGAATACTTAAATCACTGCTCAGTTACTCAAAATTATTCGGTGCTTTGGGGACCGCTACTCAGCCATTAGAAAAGGGATCAAACCAGTCCAAGTCAGCAGTATTCATATCTAGTGAAATTAAGAAAAACAGCAGCGTTCCCAAGACATGATGTGAACATGGACATCCATGATTTGCGAATGTTTGTGTTATAAATGGAAAGCATCCACCTTGATTTTCAATCAAAGCAAGTGGTATTTTCTTTCCCCTACCCCAACATAAGTCATAGCTTATGGGCCATTTCTCACAATGTCTGTAAAAAAGTCATCATCACGGTTAAAAAGACATGTTTCTGGAAGCATGGCTTTAGAAATTTCTGTCAGCCATTCTCTCCACCAAAAAAACCCCAAAATCTGCTTGACTTCAATGTGAGCTTTCTGATCAAAGAGAAATTGTTTCCAGGACTCCTGGAACAGCCGCCTCCGCAGAGTCCCTTGTATCAATGTTTGCATCCTGCCTCCCATACTGAATAGAAAAGGCAGTTGTGTTGCTTTGCTGTCCCTTTTAACCACTGTATTTAAACAGCACATCGAGGAGAAATTCCTGATTTGGGAAAATGTTAACATTTCTGTTTACAGACAATACCATTTTCCCACATGGAAAGTGTATAATGCTCTGTAGGTCAGTACTCTGCAAGGCCAACTCATCCAAATGACAAAATTCACCTCAGGAAAAAGGGCAACATCATCTTCCTTATTATAATTAATAGGATATAATATACCCTCCTTCATGGTATCCTTTCTCTGCTGTTTCTTCTCTCACACATATCAACACTCATTAATTTCACTCAGCAATTTTATTTGAAAAGACTGGTTGGTTTCCTTCAGCTCCATTTAACACACTCATCTAGCCACGCAAAATTTCATTCAAAGTTTTAAGCTTCATTCCTCAGGGTACAACAGCATTGCTGCCTGCCAAGGCCCATGTTAAAACCAGAACAGATTTCAGTTAGGGGTTTTTATAATGGAAGGGACCGTGCTTTAGAGAACATGCCCCCTTCAACCTGGCAACAATTCCAGGTTTATGTTTCAGAACACACCCCACCACCACCATCTATTTTTGAGACACCATGCTGAATGCCCAGAAACAGGGGAATAATTTTGGAAAAAAATGCTAACATGCATGTTTCTGAGCTACAAAAGGAATTTGGAGGAAATCGTTGCCTTTTTGGCATCCCTGCCGTAGAAGGGTGGCGTCACCTATACGGTTGGACTTGATGATCTTTGAGGTCTCTTCCAACCATAATGATTCTATGATTCTATGATTCTATGATTCCCTGGTAGCACAGATCTGGCACGGGTCTTCTCTCCGGCAGACTCAGCTCAGAAAATGTTCTGCCTGTGCCCGTACTGAGTGAGCAATGAGAAAACTCCATTGTCATGAGAACTCAGAGCTCATTCGGTATGTTCCTGACACTAACAGAAACCTCCATTTCCATTTCAATTAACTGGAAGGAGATCTTCTTACCAACCGTTACATTTGCTTTTCTTCTCCTCTGCCCCATGAAAAAGCTGACACAAGGCAGAATCCTTTTCGGACCAAGGAATTTCAATTAGTCCAAAGATAACTCTTATTAAAATGGAGCAAACATACCTTCTATGGACTCAGACCTACAAGTATTAACAAAATCAAATTCAGAGCGATTGGCCTGGACATGGCATCCCTATGTATCAAATTCAGAGAGACAAAGAGGCTGGAAGAGTAGCAAGGCAAAACCAGCACACCAGGGCAAGCCTGTATCCTGTACACAATGTTTATCTTTCTAACCTTTCTCTGGTAGTGGCTATTACTTCCATTTTCCCTTCTTGTCTCATATACCAATGTAGATGAAATGGCCTTGTTCCAGGAGCCGTCACTCTGAAGAAACCCCAGACATTTACCTCATTTATGAACACATTACTGCCCAAATCACACAAGCTTTGCCCTCCTTTTTCTCCAAATAAACCCAGTACAATCCAACCCCACGCCACACCCTTGATCCTATGTGGTAACCAGAAGCACAAGGATGGTCAGAGGAAAAAAAAAAAATCACTGCAGAAATACTAAATGTTGCAGGAACAGGAGGTATTTAGGAATCTATTCTCTAAAAAGTATAACTCTAACGGCAAGCAGCAATGAGAGAGCAATAAACTAGCATGAGACACCTAAGGGAAAATTGCACCTATGCACGAAAAAGTAAATTTAGAGGAATCCCAGTGTTCAAGCTGCAGGTAAGGAAAGATATGTGAACTAAGTCCCTTGTTAACAGCTACTTGGCTTTAGCTTTTCAGTGAAATGAAAGTGTGACAAAAAACACCCACCTATTAGAAGAGCGAAAATTAAAAGGATCAAAGGAATCAAAATATTTGTTCACATGCAGAAATTCAGGACTGCTGGAGAAAGGAAGAAATAAATACGCTCGCAATATATGTGTACATTTTCAGCACCTAATTCAAAGAACACTGACCATTGGGAGGGACAGTAAAAATCAACCTCTTTTCAAGGTGATTCTCTAGCATTGTTTTAATGCTACCTATTGTCAACCTGTTTTACTTGAAAACAGATTGAAACTAAACAATTTATTTTTGTTTTTAAATGGGTGCGATGGTGAAATTAAAAATTAAAATTAGAAACTAAGAGAAATGCATGAGGAGCAACTGAGCTGAGCACATGTTGTGGAGGGAAAACTGTCTATTCTGAGTGCTACATTCTCTTTATAGGGTTTAATCTACTTCTCTTATTACAAGCATGAGTTGAAATTGCACATGACAGGGATATGCACTGTAATCTAACAACAAATTTGGGATTTGGCAGTTCAGTCTTTGAAGCCAGGATTTCACCCCTGAATTCCAAGTGCTGATCTGATCTCTCTTGGTTTTATAGCAGAAGAGCTCCGTTAATTTTCATGAAATCATGTCTGCAAATTACACGGCTGTAAATGAGAGCAAAATGTGATCTCCCAAATCACAGGTTATTTATCTACTCCTCTATAGATGAAGCCAGGATACTTATTATCTATAGACCTTGAAGAGGAGTAAGATGAAACAAAGGCAAGGGGAGACTATCAATCAAATCAAAATATAGGCTTATAGGACTAAAACTAATACAGTATGTTCTGGAAATAATACAAAACAGAGAGTGCATTATTATCACTATAAAACTCTTTAACGGTATTATTCATTTATCTAAAAATTAATTACAGCTGTATAAAATCTACCTGTTTTCCCTCATCACTTCTGCTTCCTTTTCTTTCACAGATGCTGGAGACTCTTCAAAGTCGTATGAGAAGAGGTGAAAAGGAGTATGTGGTACATAAGGTAATTTCTCCACCGTTGGAGATGCCTTCGGAGTAATGGATGCTGATGAATTTTGGGAAGAGCTTAGCAATGCTGCCACAGGTGAAGATGGTGATGAAACGACAGAATTATGATGACAGACAGATGAGTCAGGCACAGAAGAGGAGCTGCTAGAAGAGCTCTTTGCTCTAGAGCAGGAGAGGGGCCTCTCAGCTGGAGAAATGGCACTGGAGACAGCTGAAGAATCAGAACACCATGAAAGGTTTTCATTCACAGCGTCTTGTGTACCTGGGACCCCACTGCAGGAGTAAAACATCGCGACAAAGGGAAGGGAAGGAGAGAAGAACGGGGAAAAGAGAGATCAATAGATAGTACCGCTGGAGGAAAAAAAGTCAAGGAGAGTCAGACAAGAAAAACTTTCCAAATTTAGACAATCAGCACCTCTTTTTAAATAAAATAAGAGAACTCACATCTTTGTATGCCAGTGGGATTCTTCTTGGGGTTGGAAACACTGATGAATGGAAGCGACTTAGATTAAGGGACAGGAAAAGGTTTAACCCACAGGCTTCAGAACTAATTTTCATGAACATTCTCACAACCATTTTCTGAACAATTTTCAAGTATTTCAAGTTAGGTTGTATGCATTGTCAGAGCAGTACAAAGCAGTCTCAACACGCTGGATAACATTGTCCACAGACTAGAGATGCTTCAAGATACAATCTGCATGACTGACTCCTGAAGGCCAGATATCTGATTATCATTCTCCTTGGTGATCTGATCTTTTTACCAAAAATGCTCATCCACCAAAGATGAAAATAAAAAATACTCAGTTGGCACTGTTCTGTCAAAATTAAGGTTTAGAATTATTTCAAAAGCAATGCCTTACCAGATCATTTTTTAGGTATGAAGGCAGTAATTTCTCTGAGTGTCAGCATCCCGTGTTGGTGTTAGATAGAGACTTGCAGAGTTGCATCAAGTGCAACAGAAAACACATCTATCTGCTTTGCTCTAGTGAAGGCAGGTGTTGGTGAGTGACAGAAGCAGCAAGGCAGGTGAAAAGCCATGGGATCTGCACTCCAGGATATCTGTTTTCACTAGTATCTCCAGCCTAAACACTGTGCATGGGCTTTGGGCTGGATCACTCAGCAGGTGGCTGATTTCATTCTCCTGAGACCACCTCTGCAATCCACCTACAGGCATGCAAGGCATGGCCCCTATCTGAGGAGTGTGGGCTCGGCACAGTGTATGCAAGAAAAACATAATACACATTATATATGTTAGGATATTATGAAGTTCATCATCAGGTATATACCAGGTAATTTCTCACAACAGAAGCACAGTGAGCAATCTGGAAACCTTCATCTATTGCACCAGTTGTGTGTGACAGGAGTCCCTGAAGCCAGGCCAGTCCTACCTACCCTGGCAGCATCAAACACAAACAGCCAGGGTACAGATCACTTTGGTTATGCTACAGTGACAGTGAAAGGAGGTATTTAGAAAAGCCATGGGAATATCACCCAGTTATCTCAAAGTGACTGTTATTTTAAAAGACCGATGACCTAAAAGCACATCATGACCTTTACGTGGTTCTTCCTCATCTTTTTTAAACAGTATTTTAGTATATTCATGCAATTTACTAATAACTTGCGTCTTAGCTTTGACTTTTAAGAATTGGTTTTGAGGAAATTATCACTTAATTTTGAAATTTCAGGCAGCCATTGGCAAGATTTGCAGACTGGAGGATATTAATAACAACAGTACAGTATTTTCTTTGGAATTCTCACATTAAACAGTTTCCTTTCTTCCTTCCGCGCTGCACAGCATCTGCATGAATGTGGTTTATTTAAAAAAAAATAAATCCAATCTCATATGCCGAGTTGCAAAGCCAAACAATTTAACCTGAATCAAATGGCTGTCTGGAAGAAAGAACATATTTTCTTTCTTCCAATTTATTAGGATAAAGTTGCCAGATGCCAAATCCATATATACCTCAGAAATAGGTGGAAAATTTTACATGAGAATATTGTTTTGATAGGTGGATTGTTTATATCCATATATACACAGATGGGCAGGTATGCATAAAATTAAATATATATCTATCACCTTTGCCTTGAAGTAGTTCTTTCCCATTAAAACATGAACAAAATTGATAGAAATCCTAGGCAGCATTCAAAAAATGCCAATCTCCTTCCTAGGAACAGGTATTGCCAATAAGGTTGTATCAGGAAAATAGGGATGAAAACCTCAGAAACCAAGCAACAGCCTTAGCAAAGCGCTGCAATGTTTCACCATTGCCTCAACTGAAAAGAAAAACCTAAGCCATGCTTAAAAGCTATGCCTCCAGCTAAATCTCTTAAGATTTGTCAGCATTACTAATTTTGTACAAAGGGAGTGAGTGCAGACAGTGCATAGCCTATATAATGAAACACATTTCCATTAACGCATGCCCCCCAACAAAGCTTTTAAATGCAAAAAGATTTCCTTGGGGGGTGGCTTTAACAGGCGATCAAGGAATGTGAGTGAAAAGGTAGATGCTGCTGCACACTGTGCTGGTGAGTTCATGCCAGAGCCTGAGGAAAAGGTGGAGGGACGATGCTGAATCCCGGTACCTGGCTTTGACCTGCCTACTGGCCTCTTCCTCCCCCTCATCCTCAGTATTGGGCTCTGTGACTGGCTGTTCTTCTTCCTCCTCTTCATACTCTTCCTCCTCTCTGAGGTCAGACCAAGGAAAGAGGCATGCAGTGGGATGGAAAGAGAGAGGGTGGAAGAGAAAACGATGTGAGTCCACAGAAACAGAAATGCAATGAGGTTAGAAATGGAAGGAAAACACTAAGAGGGGGGAGTTATGGCCCCTTATGTTAAACAAAAAGCCACCTAAAACTTCCCGCTAGGTATGTGTTGGTGCAAGGGTAGCTACCAATACAAAAATTTTATCCTCTCCCGTATTTACATTTTTCACTAATAATTTTTAAGACCCCAAAGACGCCAGTGTTTTTTCTTGAGCTTGGCTTTCCATTTGCTGCCCTACCTGCAGAGGCATTAATGGAAAACATCCATGACAATACCATTGTTCAACTCGTTAGTCATTAAGCTGTGTCTGTTTGGCTTAAAGGACAGCACACGCTGTGCTGGCATGGGACAGCTGGCACTGGACATCACACTTTCTAAATTAACACAAATAAAACATTCCTGTTAAGCAACCGATAGCCCAACTGGAAAACAGAACAGGGTGAATTATTAAGTTAGAAATAACAGAGACCAAATCAGTTCAGGACTATTTGCAAATAGCAATATTTAACTTATCAGATGCCAGTACATGAATTATTTCAGTAAAAAGTCATTAGTATGGTCAAAGCAGGCTTCGGTTCACCACTAATTCTGGCAGAGGAGAATTGTCAGTCACGCATAAAGCCTCCATAACCTATAAACCACGTAAGTAAAAAATGAAAACTATATTAAACAAAACAAAAAAGGCTATACTGTCTGCCTCCTCTCCCTCCCATTTATGCTTTTTCCTCCCCAAACCAACAGACTCAGGAGAGATTTAGAAAATATTGTCTCTTTGGACGTCTTTTGCATTTTCAATTGATCCAGTTCTCCACTTGATTTAATGATGTATACCATTAGGTTATGCTCCATGCAAAAAATAAAACATACAAACAGTAATAAAGTTTGTAAGACACTCATATTCCTTGCATTTTCCTGAAAGATAATTTTCTTTTCTCTAATTCTGAAGGGACACTCTTTGAATTTTTTGCCATTTAGAATTAGCTTCCAGGTCACAAGAAAAATGAATATTTACAATGTGAGATCACGAACTCATCGAGTGCAATACAAAGGGTAAATCCAAAATTTGTTGCATTTCTGTGGAGTTAGCTATAGATTAATCAGGAAAATGGCAGCACCTAGAACTTTTCCAATACTCTGGCAAACATCTACAAAGTAAACACTTTCAACCGTTCCTAAGGTATCATAGTGACATAACCACACCAGTTGTCATCTCTGCATCTCCCTTGTCCTCTCCACAAACATATACCTCCCCTACAGAGACACCTCTCAACTTCTATACATATATATATTGGTACAACACCAAAAAAAAGAAAAAAAAGAAAAAAAAGAGTTGATCAGGGAGCATTCATATCATCTCTTCTCCTTACTAGCGAACAGCTCAAGACTAGCTATGCTATTACCTCCTGTGAAGGGCAAATGTCAGCATCTGCCAGTCCTACAGCAATCACATTTGGGCAATAACTCATGAAGCTCTGTGGGATCACGGTTCTCTGATGAGAGCACAATGCATCCTGTAATGCTCATAGCACGGCTGTTGGTATAAGAACAAGAGCGTCCCCGTTACTGTGTTTTAAGCTCCCACCGGATTTCCAGATTGATGACATCAAATTCCTTGCTCTCCCCAACTGTCTCAAAATGCCCCAAATGGTAAGCGATTGATGACATCAAATTCCTTGCTCTCCTCAACTGTCTCAAAATGCCCAAAATGGTAAATGAAATACTCATCTGATATGCTGGATCTCACAAATTTAAAAGAGTTCTTTCAGAATTTATTTCTTCACATGAGTGCACGGTAGTAAGGACAGGAGTTTATACAATACGAGTTGAACTGGGAATCACTGAGTTATAATTGCACTGAACAGAAAGAGAAGCGGAAAAGAAAAAAAAAATCCAGAACTGAGAGAGTTAGCTCATGTTTAAGAATCACTTCATAATACAGGATCATGAGGTACCTAACTAACACTTGCCAGGTGAGCAACACATCCTGGATATTTTCCTTGAGATCTTGCCATCCTATTTTTACATCTTGTGTTTATAACCCTGCAGCCACAGTCCAAAGTCTTGATATCAAGTCTTTTATATACCAGCAATGAAAGGTGTTCCCTTCCCCTATGTTCAGTTTTTGTAATCAGTATTTATCACATTAGGATATTTAATTGGTACGTAAAGGTCTGAATTTACTTTTATTGTACAGACTATTTCCCTAGAGCCAGGTGAAGTTTGGAACTAAACAGGGACTTACTATTCTAATTTTAGGTACCCGTTTTCAAAAATGCTGAGTTTCTGTGTAGAAAGTGTACAACTGTCAAGTTCACCATACATTAAATACCACAGGTGAGCAGTAATCAATTAAAATACAGTCCTCTGGCCTTCTTACTGCTGTGCAAAATATTGTTCTAATCCATTATAGGAAAAAACTGATTTCCATACAACTAGCTTAATTATAAATACAAAACCACCCTAAATTAAGCCTTCATATATAATAGCCTTCATAAAATTAGGATATATGACTAGTCCCTCACAAAAAATTTACTGCACTTTACCCTGGAAGGACTAGTTGTCTGCAAAAAAAATTTTTGGTCTGAAAACCAAACAGCTTTTAGAATTGCAACAGAAATGTCCATATAAGCTCAGGTTAACAGTTGAAAAACAATCCAGGAAACAGAACCGTGATATCTCAATTTACAGAGCCATCAATGACATATTTTCCATAAGCACTCGCATTTACTTAAAAACATGACTAAAATAGGAATAGCTCTTCGGAATATATGTAAGACAGTTATGCTTAAATGACCTTAGCTTTTTATATACATGTGTCTTTCTGGTAAGTTGTGCAATACATCCATGTACTGAAGACTAAGTTATAAACCAGGAAATTATTTTAATCTTGAAATCAGTTACTGGACTGAAAACCATTATCATAAAAAGACCAGTTTGGGACCTGTAAGATTTTGGTTTCAGTCTATAGGTAGAGACACACTCTTGCCTACAATGAGAAACAGAACTTGGACCAGGAGGTGACATGACCTACATGGAGCTGAAGCCCCTATCCTCCTTCATGATGGGTTGTGAACCATTAATAATGTCACATGAAGGAAATACTTCTGTCTGCTGTGATGTTTATCTGCAATTTTGTCTCAGGAAGCAAAAAGTCAAGAGCCCTCTTCTCAGATGTTATGACTTGCTGTACTCTAAAGGAGCAGATCAAGAGTAACAGCCCCTTAATTTGTGTATTATTTGAGAATATCATATTTCAAAAGAACTACGCATGTACAGCAAGCCTGTGGGGCACATTTGCTTTTACAGTTTGGGGGTACGTTTGCTTTTACAGTTTATAATCAGACATTAACACATCCCTAATGAGTACTGTTTCCAAGCTGAATATTTTGTTGGAAGTTAATCTTGTATTGATTTTTGCACATGTATCTGAACTGTGGATAATAACAAAGAAAACTGAATTAACTGGGTGGGGTATAAGAAGTGAGCATACCCAAATCATACACCCCCCTGGATAATAACAAAGAAAACTGAATTAACTAGGTGGGGTCTAAGAAGTGAGTATACCCAAATCATACACCCCCTGCATCTGCTCAGAGCTCATGGAGTACACCAAGCATGTGTAACAGCCCTATCAGAGTGACTGGCTTGGCGGAGTGGCACTTCCAAGGCTGCAGTGCCTGCTCCACAAGAGCCAGCTGCTGAGATTTGAGATGGACAAAATCTTGAAAGTGAGTTTATTTACTCCTGACCCAAAAAGAGGACCTCTATAATCACCTGACTCAGCCTTTCTTATGACAGAGGCTGGAAGTTAACTGATGCCTTCACTTCCCTCCAGCTGTCTAGAAATAGTGAAGTGGCTCTGTGGGTCCATCATCATACCTTGACTGGTGGATTAATTTTAGAGCTTCCAGCAAGATCATTCTTCTGTCAGGCCAAGGACTCTTTCCTCAAATCTCCTTGACTTCCAGATTAAAAGCTTAGAAGAAACTTTGATTGCAAAGTTCTCTTCCTCTGATAATATTAACTCTAGGAGGACAGCAGGTACATCGCAATTGATTGGAAAAGCCAGAGGAAGGAGCTGGCTCTGTGTGCGCTGGCTGCAGAGGTGACTGGTGGTGTGCACCAAGGCAGGCATGCTCCCCAACCTGGGGGAGCCAATTTGGTTGAGGGAAATTTGTGCAATAGAAATAAGTGTGTGCTTAGGAGAGATGCTCAATGCTTGGAAAGTCCTCTTTCAGCAACTAAACTCACAGTCTCAGACCCCTGGACTATTCCCAGAAAGTGGATCAGAATCAGATCAGAAGAGAGGGGTAAGCTCACAGGCAGGAATCAAGTGTGCTCTTCTTTCAACCAAAGCAATAGTGGTAGCTGTTTCTCAGTATTGTTAGAGAACAGATATTCTGTCCATGAAAACAGGTAGTACCTGCTAGCTAAATCTTTCTTAAAAGGTAGAAAAGAAAAATTTCCACTTGAATAATTATTAAAATGGGAAAACACCAACTGCAAGCAGATGACATTCTTGTAAAGCTAAGAACATCAGACAATCAGATGCTCAAACAGAACAGCAGATAGATTTGTGAATTCATATTGGTCCTTCAGGGTTTTGTATTCATTTTTGTGTGCAATGGAGAAGGGATGATGTGGAAAAGCTGACTTTCCCTCGAACACACATGCAAATTTGGTGTCAATGCAATAGCAGAATTAAATTAAGAAAAAATATTCACAGGGAGGTTTTCAATTAAACTAGGTTGCAGAAGCCAGCATGTTTTTCAGTAGCACAGAGGAACCTATCCTGTTCAACAAAAGGCAAATATTTATCCTGCAGCAGGGAGGAAGGGCTTCAGCTAATGCTGAAGAATCAGATACATTCAGCTAACCTTAAGGCTATTCCTGGGTTACTTCAATTCCATGATAACAGTAC